CAAACGAAATGAGAATAAAATTCAAAATAAATATTTATATCGAGTAATAACCAAAATATAAAAAAAAACATAGCAAGAGAAAAATGGAAGATAAATAGGATTGACACGTGAACGTGAACTTCTCATAACTGGAAGATAAATAGGATTGACACGTGAACGTAAACTTCTCATAACCATAATTAATTTTTAAATTGTTAAAAATGTTTTTGATCATACGTATAGATAATTATATAAAAATTTCAAAATTCTAAAATTTCAAATACATACAAAAACATTATGTAAATTTTAAATTTGTGAATATTAAAATTTTATATTTTAATTACATATATTCACCCTGCGCAAGGCGCATGTCTTATCCTAGTAACTATTATTAACTAAATTTCAAGCTGGTTACACTATTTTTATTTGAAGGGTTATGTTATTAGACAAAATAACCAACCCATTCATCGTTCATGATTTGACAAAGGGGAGCACGAAGATATTAGAAGACATTATATGTATGAAAAAATTATTTCAATGATATTGGGAAATTTGCTAGGTGGTAAAATGAGGAGGAACTCGAATTGTGAGTGTAAGTACAAGAGAAGGAGTAAGCACATGATGAAAAGGAAACATTTAAGATTTTTAGTCGTTGGAGTTTAAATAGAGATGGTGTGTCTTGTTGAGTGTTCGAAATTGGTTGCGTCAAATCAAGTGGTAGATGATTTCTGTTAATGTGGTTGAGTAGGTCAATGTATACGATTGTCTAAATTATTATTTTTCCAAAATATGGGAATTCTAAATTATTAATCCATATTTTTCTCTAGTATTCGAGAGTTAGGTTTTAGAATTTAAAAAAAAAAAATCCATACCAAAAGAAAACAATCCTTTTCAATTGCCACTACTGAGTGACTGTCTAAATTATTTGTAGCTGATGTGAAGATTGCTAAATCTCTGTAAGGTGGATGTGTTCAAATGTGTTCTAAATTTAGAAAAATGTACATTGTTTTTGTCCTCTCCATCTATGTGTGTGGGTGCCGGAACGTAATTATCTTAAAGACGAAGACGATGTTGTCCCAACTACCCACAGTTTACCAATAATAAACACATGTGTGTCGGTTAAAAAAAAAGAAGAAAAAACTCTAAAGTTTTACTATCAAACGGAAAAGAAGAAACAGTATAGACCATCCTTTTTACCGTAACGTTCACTATATAAACAAGGCGACGGCAAGTGTTATCTCATCAACCAAAGACAACAACAAAGAAAGACGAGTGAAAGAAAACAAAAGAGAGATAATGGCGACGTCTGGAACATTTGTGACAGAGGTTCCGTTGAAAGGAGCGGCGGAGAAACACTACAAGAGGTGGAGGAACGAGAATCATATTTTCCCTGACGCTGTTGGTCACCACATCCAAAGTGTCACCGTTCATGATGGCGAATGGGACTCTCATGGCGCCATCAAGATTTGGAATTACACACTGGGTATACATTTACTTATAACACTTTACACATATATAATTGAGTCAAACTAGAGTTCATGTGTTAAGCTAGGGTTTTTGAGATTTTGGTTGTCTATTTGCCAAGTTATGAGTTATTATGGTTATAATGTAAGCTATACATAGTCTTTATTTATACAATATTAATGAAGAAAATTAAAATATTTTTAATTTAGAAAAGGTTTAAAGTATTTATAAAATTTTGTTTGCAAAGCCGTTTAACATCTTTTTTATACCTAGATGGAAAGCCGGAGGTATTCAAGGAGAGGAGAGAGATAGACGATGAGAAGAAAACGGTGACGTTTAGGGGGCTTGAGGGTCATGTGATGGAGCAGCTTAAGGTGTACGAGGCCAACTTCCAATTCATTCCCAAATCTGAGGATGGCTGCGTCTGCAAAATCACTTTTAACTGGGAGAAGCACAACGATGACTTCCCCGATCCCAGCAACTACATGAAATTCATCAAGAGCTTGGCTGCTGACATGGATGACCATGTCGTCAAAGCTTAATTCTCAACATGGTTACTATCATCATCATCACTATTACTATCTCGGTTTATTCAGTAATAAAGTGGTCTATAATAATATAATTGAGGATGCTCTGGCATTTCCTTTCTATGTAACGGTTTGTTTCTGCAAGATGATTTGATATGTTCGTTGTTATGGTAATCATCGTGTTCTATGTAATGAATCTTTACAATGTTATGACAACGTTCTTAAGATAAGTATGTTAATTTCATAAAGGTATAACTTATAAGAGAGTTTGTGAATGATTCAGACGTCTAGACTGAAATACCATTTCAACGTTTCTATTTTTCAGTCTTCATCATCCTTAAAAGAATTAACACAGATATACGAACATGAACCAAATGTCATTTCTATTTTTTTTTTATGTTACACAAAGTTATTGCTGTCTACATATCTCACACATGAACCTAGTCCAAACAAAGTTCATCTTTACCAGAAAACCCAACAGAATTTGCAGCCTGCACAAACAAAACAACAATAGGTCTTAGAGTATCACTAGTGGCGATGAGTATCTCACAAATATAATAATAATTTATTTAGTATAAATTAAATATTTTAGTGAGATTTAAAGTTATAAGAAATATACAAATACTAATGATATAAAATTAAGTGTACAGGAGTCAATTAATTGTTTCTAAAAAAATCAAATGAGATTTCTTTCTTCATTAGTCACTTCTTATTACCTTTTTTTTTGTTTAATACTTTATTGCTAAGAAACTCTTTAAAATATTTTTAGTGATGATGCTTTTACCACCAAGCCACCCAAGCCTGATTACCCCTTTTTTATTAGTATTTATTTATAAATATATAGAGTTTTTAAACTAAATATTACTTAATGAGAATTATTAGTTAGTGTATCAAATCTAATACTCTCTCATATCAGTATAACTTTTTTAATTTGTTTAATTGTTTCTCAATCCGTATAACATATTTATTCATAAAAATTATATAAACAACATTAATGTTTTTACGAATATTACTATTGTTATCAAATAAATATAAATTATGTTTATATATAAACTTTAATAAAATCCTAAGATATATAAGTTAAAATCAATAAAAATACAAGTAGAATTATATATAATTTAATTAAACTATTATTGTTTAAATGTGAGATTTTGTATTAGCAATTTATTTTTATAAATTATGATTGATTATTATCATATTGTTGGTAATAATATTAACAAATATTGCTATACAATTAAGTTTATAAAATTATTTTTAATACTTATTAATGCAGCTGAACTTGTATAAAAAATTTATGATCTTTTATGTTATATATATATATTTATATATGATTATAAAAATATATGTAAAAACATATTGTTAAAAGTTTGTTTAAGGCATTTAAATGTTTTAGACAGACACTGTTTACCACCTGCAAGTTTATCATCTTGAGAATCCCAAAATGGTGAAAAACGTTTGACATCAATTTACGAACTAATGCCCTCAATCAAGTCGAAGCATTACAATTAGATCGTGAATAACGTAATGAGGACGAGAGCACTATAAAGATAGAAAAGAGGTTATCAAATAGGGGTTACCCGGTTAGGTTGATGATATCTCTGTGTTCTTAAAAAGTATTTTATGTATATTCTCACTAAATAATACCTAGAAAGGCTATTTATTCCTACATTCACAAATAATCAATAAAAATGTTTTACTTCGTTAGGTTTCATGGTATTTCATAGAACATTTTGCCACTAACTCTTGTTATATCGTAAGCAGTCACCTAACGGATCTAATAAAGATACAATATATAATTTCTTAGAAAGTTAGAAACCATAACAGGAGAAATCTAAAAAGCTGCAAATGATGGAAATTAGTGGATTTTATCTCACATACAAAAACAAAACAACAAGAAACACATGTCCCTAATCAAATTGATTATGACACATGCAGATACATTGGACCAACCAAACTGGTGGATCAATCAAGTGTAATGTTGACGCGAGTTTTCGACATGATACTATCAGTTTGGAAGTAGCTTTTTGTTGCAAGTAGGTCTTTGGCAGTAGATAAAGCATGAGCCAGTGCTCTTATTCAGAGCGGCACTGGGGCCTAACCAAGGAAATCTACTTTCAAATATGTAATAAAACAATTCAGCCACAAATTATAAAGTTAGTTCTAGTCTAGGGTGCAACTTTAAGAGAAGCCCAAACTTCAACCTAAATTTAATTATACGCTAAATATATATATTTATTATACGCTAAATATTATCATGTATTATTTTTTAAATGGCCAACTTTATTAAAATTTCAATACCGTCTCACAAGATAAATATTGAAAGCATACAAACCAAACAAAAAAAAAGAATTTTAATGTTCACGATAAAAAAACATTTTGGGTGTAAACAAGATAAATATTGAAAGAATGTGGTGAAAGATTCTTTTAAGCTTCAATAAAAGAAATAAATTAAATATAAATTAAATTTAACAAACTAATTTGTTTACTTTTTTCGTCAACGATAAAAATTCTTTTGTAGAACAACATATTTACCAAGGATATTTTAATTAAATGTCCTCAAAAAAATCCCACAGTCTACGTTCTTATTTTTTGTCTTTGTTTATCCTCATAAATTTTAGTTATATACAAATAGCCTATTTGTTTCCATAAAGATTTTCAAATATTTGATTTTGTCAGCAATTTCCTCAATTGCGTTAGCTACAAATAAACTCTTTTTAGGTATCAACTACATTTTTTACTCTCTAAAAAACTACATTCTTTCACTTTTCTTTCACCAACAATTCATGAAAATGACTACCACACACGAAGAAGAAATATTTGAATGATTAGTATGTCGACAACCACATGATTTGGGACGACAAAATTCAACTGGCAATCATGAATTTAATCTTTTTTGTTTGTTTATTTGTTTAATAAAGAACGGTTTAGTTTTAGAGCTGAATGTGGGAGTAGCACCTCTTCACTATCCCAAGACTTTGTGTTGCATACTAATAAGTTACTCATCCTCCTAATTCATGCCGAGAAAACGAAGCCCCCAGTCAGGCAGTCAATGAATTTACAAAAATGCTTAATAATGTTTTCGAGCTACACATGTTATGCGTCCGATTCTAGTTTGCGTCTTGTTTCTGGCCTTTAGTTGTTGGATTAGGCTAGATTGAGTTTTTTTTAAAAAAAACGCTAACATTCATTCCAATTTAAAGAGAGTAAATTTTATAACTAAACTGCCAGTACATAGATACACGTATACATGTATTGCATAAATACACCTGTCAAAATAATAAAATAATAACATTACCGGTACTAGAGACTAAACGATACCAATAAATACCATTCAGAAAGGACAATGCAATAGACTTCAATCCTTTTTCACTTAAGGGATTTTCATCGAAGCAAAATTCAGCTGAATTGAAGAACACATGACTGTTAGCTTTGTAGCTATTTCCATTCAAAGCCAGACTTTATTAGGAAATGAAACAAAAAATTGACTATAAATTTATGCTAGAGATGGTTTATCTGTGTCGGTGGGTTATAACCTCCCTTAGAGGTTAGTCTAGATCTTTCCATGGGTCTGGGGTATATCTGATGTTAAAAAAAAAATTTGACTATAAATCTGAATTTTAAGTAGTACTTTATTTCCTCTCAAAGTAGTTATATTCTAAAGACTCGATTGGTACAATAGATGATAAAACATTAGCAATATGCCGTAAAAATAGTATATTGCATAAGATGTATAATTCATTAAAAAATTTAATAAAGTAATTGATAGAGCAGTAGCAAAATACAACTTCAAAATTATCATAAAGTTAATATATAATATATTTATTTTAAAATAATATAAATATAACATTTATGTTAATATTCTCTTTGTTATTACAAATTAAAATATTATTCATTTTCTAAATTATATTATATTTTATATGTGAAATATTATTATTTAAAAATATGTAAAATTATGTTAAAATATTAAATTATATTTGAATATAACATAATTTTTAATATTATAAAATTAATTAATTATCATATATATAAATTAATATATTATTTATTTATTAGTAGACTAGTAAATAATTCATATCTAAAATTAGCATAAACTAATATGATATAATTTATTTACTATTTTGTAAATAATATATATATATATATATATGTTTTACATATAAATAAAATTATATTATTTCATGTTTATTATTAAAAATAATGAATGATATGTGTAATTATATATATTATATTATATTTTATATGTGAAGTATTGTTCTTTTAAAAAGTTGAAAATATTTAACTGCGTTCTTATTATTAAAAATATTAATTTATATTTTTTATTATAAAGATATTTTTATATTATTATTAATAAAATAAATCAATTATGTATAACTCTTTGGGCCTCGCCCATTTAGGATTAAAAAAATTAGGTTGCTAGGTAATTAACGCTTGTCCAATATGGGACATGCAACGTCATCTTAGTTGACGATCCATCGAATGTGTTTTTCTAATTAAAGCTAATCGGATCATGTGTTCTCTATGAGATTTGACTGTTTTAACAATTTTGTGGTAGCGATGTTTTCGGATCTTTGATCGCATCAACTCAGATCTGATGTGAGGATACATATCAATAGTAGATCTGAAATCAAACTGACCATAATAAAAAAAAAAAAATGGTACCTAATTTCATAGTCATGCATCGATTGTGGTTATATACAGTTTTTTTTTTTGTTGTAATGGACCTCAATAAGACAACCCAAAAATACATTTATTATTATTTTCAAAATAGTATTAGAGGATGATGGGGGGTTTACACGCAAACAAACAAAAAAAAATATTAAAATCAGATTTTTATGAACATCTCTCTCAAAAGTTCACTGCGGTGAATCCCGATGACCCCAGCTTCACCACGTGTCAGATAGTGATTGGTCCAATTATTAAATTTTTTTTTTAAAAGTAAACAAAAAAAAAAGAAATTATTTGTGTGAATCTCCAAAGGGGATTCATCAATGTGGATACTCTTAGTTTGAAAATATATGTTTATCAATAGCTCATATTTTAGCAATAAGCTCTTTGCACACGAAAGAAAAAAACAGAAGAAGAAGCGAGGAGCTCAAAAAAAAAAAAAAATTGATAATCGATCAACAGTCAGGATCTAAGAATATGGAATTGAGTTAAGTGAACATGCCTTATTTCTTGTTTCTTAGTGTGTCATTGGACCGCGAAACTTAACGTGTCTCTCTTCATGCAAATTGGAGACCGGATATTAATTCTAGTTTTTAAAATTAGGGAACGTGAAAGTCTTGTAAACTTCTTTTTAACTAGATTGAATATCCATTCAAGAAAAAAAAACATTTAAACAGAAAGTCCTATGGTTTCAAGATTGTGAATACTCAACAATCAATTAGTATTACCAAATAGATGGTGGTCTAGTAACCCTAAGGATATGATTGCTACTTTGAACCAGCTTGAGAGGGGTGATTTACATTTTGAATAGTATTATCAACATGTTTTAAAATACAACAGGGAGAAATGATTGGCATTTGCATATAGTATCCTGGTAATGACAGAGTATATGTCAGTCGATAATCTCTATTCCAATTAATATATTACCGATTAAGATCTTTACTCTATTAAAAGGCGCTATTCAAGCCCTCTTAACCTGTCCACCTCGGATTAAATAATGGACCAATCAGAGCTCTTCATTTTGCCACGTCACTGACTTAATTTTCGTATTGGGCTAGCATATTTACTGATCCGTTTGTTTGTTTTTTGGCACATTTGGCCCAAACATTGAGTTCCCACAAAACCTACACCGCGTTATTTCTTTCTTTTTCCGATTCGTTTTCTCAACACCATTCCATCTCTATGAAATTGGACACTCATTTATGAATTCCTTTCGCCTTCCTAACTCTCAATCTATTTATATCTCTTTTTCTCTCAAAGTTGCCTCCACTTTCACAATGAACAAATGCGATGAATTCTAACAGCAAAACCACTGTAACAGTCTCCTCCTCCAAAGCTATCTCCGGTGAATCTATGTCCAAGAAGCCATAGTCTCATCCGCCAAAGGAAACGAAACTGGTAAGTATTTTTTTGTCTTTTTCTATTTAAATGTCTGGACCTTCAAGACCTAAGTGATGAAGAGGAGGAAAGCGAGGAGACTACGGCCTTTTTTTATCTCTGAAATACGATTCCGTTTGTCGATGTTGTCAAGAGCAAGATGACTATGCCGGAGAGTCAAAGAGTGTTGTATCACTTTGGTAGCGTCTTCAACACTTCCGTTTCTGTTTTGTGGCTTTTTTTCTTATTTGGTTGTGCTGTTAGTTAAATCATCCATTCTCACTTTTAGTTCTTCTTTGTTTTGTTTGGGTTCAAAATATTAAGAAGAAAACGTTTAAATCCGAAAACATATGATTCATTATGTGTTACAGTGTCTCAGTTGATTTGGAGAGTAGGCTGTGTTTTCGCTGAGATTCTTACCAGAAGACCAGTTCTTAAAAAGGAAGAACAGAGGTGAGAAAGGGACCAAAGCGATTTATCAAAATTACTCATTCCAGATAGTGTTTTTTATGCGTTTTTGTCTTTGTTTGTTCTGTGTAGAACTGTAGATTGAATAACTTCACCAAATATATAAACTCTTTGGTTCACCAGATGAAGAATTCTGGGAGAAGACCACGACATCACCATGAGCGTTGTCTGAGAAAAAAATTATAAGGAGTTTCCGATAACATAAGCTGATCTTCAGGAAAATCTATTATCTGTTTATCCAGACAAATGAGAAACTCCCTCTTATGCTCTCATGTAAAAGGTAAAGAAAAAGAACCCTAAACTTTAATCGAATACCGAATCAAACACATATATATATTAAACTGACAGTGTTTTGGTCTTTTCTGTGGCTTTGCTATTATTTTAGTACTTTAAACAAAACTATGTTTGTGATCCATTGACATTACCTATGTAGCTGGTATTCATCTATTGAAGTTTATTTTTTTGTTTTGTTTATAGCTGAGGGTGTTACTTGGATCAGCAGATTGATTAGGACGAGTTCTTGTGCTCAGCGAAGAGATAAGGAAACACATTCTACCTTAACACCTGCTCAGGTTACTCATTTTCTCCACTGTTTTTTTTTTTTTATTATTTTAGTGTTTGAAAACTGGAATTTTGATTTTTATCTCTCTTATCTATACACTCCTGCTCTTTGTTTCTGATATACTCTCCATTTGCTCATTCTGTAAGCTTTAGCTTGGTTTCTCTGTATTATCTGCTATGGATGAGAGTTTTGTTGTCAAGGATCATGGTGTTGTTGATTAAACCTTAGTATGTTGCAGAGACTCGTAGTATACTATATTCCTCTAAAACCTTTTTATTCTTGTGTGTAGTTTTGTAGATATCTGATGTTTTTGTAGGAAATTGTGTGTATTAGAGGTCTAGAGTAGCTTGCTTTCACGTATTGAAGAGACATTGAATCTGTGAAAAACAGCTAAGATATTTTCGTGAAGTTTGTTTGCTTTTTTTTTTATAGCTGAGGGTGTGCCTGTATCGGCAGTTTGCTCTTTCCTGTGTTTGTGCTCAGCGAAGAGAAAATGACACACAGTCCACCTAAGATCTAAGACATGCTTAGGTTTCTCATTACGTTTAATTACTGTAACGTGTTTGTAAATGTGTACAAGTTGGTATTAACGTAACTTGCAGGAGGAATGCTTGCAGAAGTGTGTTGATGTAGCTTAGTGACAGCAGCATACCTCTCTGCATCTGGTACAAAACTCTTGGTCCAATACCAACTCTTCTGGAATCTGTCTCTGCCATGAAAACACGGCGGCTTACGCGATCCATGACCACACTTCACCGAAACACATTGCCGATTCCTGATGAGTTATTTTAATGCTGATTCTGTCTTTGCCTTTTTTTAAACTGCTCTGTCTTTACTCTTGCTCATCAAGAAATTCATTATGCTTTGAAAGAAATATATGGGTACTCCACTGTTCTTTATATAAGTTATGGACAAGAGGGAGAAAATATTTTTTTAGTCATCCATTTGTTGGAGTTTTCCCTACTACACAAATATCTATCTACTTATATTCATGTTTATCAATTGAAAATTTTCTACAACCAATATTCCATGAACTCTACGTATTTGAAAATATGGCATATGTCATGAATACTTTCTTCAAATATAAGAATCTATAGGTTGGCTTTCAAAAACAAAAGAATCTAAAAGTTGTATTTCTATTGACAAAAAAATATAACTACAAATGCGTTTATTACGATTGTAGATATAATAATTAAAAGTTATTTAATTTTACTCCAAATATTTATGTTTAGTTCTTAAAAAAAAGTAAATACCTCTTACCCTAAAATCCTAAACTATATACATTTACATTAAAATATTAGAACTACGGTTGGACTTTAGTTTTACCCAAAAAATCAATCTAATATTTATATTTAACTTATGAAAATTATGATTATTTAAAATAGAAACTCAAAAAAATAGTATATTGTGTGATCAATACTTTAAAAATCATGAAAGAACAATAACCACACATCTCCTCTCCATTTTTTTGTTTCATATAGTTAGAATCTATTTTACAAAAACTTTATCTATGTGAGATAGTGGAAAAAGTTTTAAAACTAAAATTATCCATTTTTACCAATAACTTAAGCCCAAATAGTAAAATAAAATCAGTTGAAAACTGGTTAAACAAAAAACTTTTAAAAATAAATTAATTATATACTATGTTTCTATCTTACTAAATTTTCATTTTGACATTTTTCACACAAATCAAAATATAATTAAATTCATGTTTATCCCTAATAATTACATATGATTAACTAATATTCATTAAGATATAAAGGTATTTTTAGGATAACAAACATTTTTTTTACAATAAATACTAAGTTAAATAGGTATAACCTTAAAATTATTTTGTAATTATAAATGACACAGTTTGTAATAAGAAGAAAAATTTCAAACAATGTCATTTATAAAACCAAATTTACATACACATATAAATTGAATATAAGCATAAAATTAGGTTCAAATATAATTCTCAAAAACTTAACTAAATCTTTAAAATTATCAAGGAATTCAAAATAAAAATAAGAGTCAAGTTCTATGCATGAATTAAAACTACACCTTCTATATGTAGCTCAAAATATAATAATCATTCGTGTTGTTTTTGTATTGTAAAAATAGTTTTGGTATTGTAGAAAACTAATTAAAAAACTTATTACGAAAATGCAAGAACGAAACTATATCATAAAAACACAGATAAAAATATAGATTATTTTATATTTACACAAGAAAATTAATTATAAATTTAAAAGTAATTATCCGCGCATAGCGCGGAAAAACGATCTAGTATTCTTAAAAGAGGTAAAACATAGTAAGTCAAATTTAATTCCATATAGTGTACTTTCTTCTATTCGGTATGACACTCCCGCATTTATTATTGGGTGTTTTCATATATTATTTTATTGTTCACACTTCACAAAGCTTGTATTAAGTTGCCTATCAATTGGATTCCGCTAGCTAGTTGATCCAATTATAAATCTCAACAATGATGAATGCACATTCCCCATACAGATTGTATAATATACAGATTGTAAAATCTTACCAACTGACGACACAAACTGTCGTCCCCAATAACATTTTTGCTTCTTGAGATACAGACAACAAAATCATGAAGAGAGTATGATCACTAATTTTATTTTGTTATAAATTGTAATGCAGCTCGGAAAATATTACAAGAACTAGTTTATGCATGGAGAAATTTCAATTCTACTATAAATTTTGTACAAATTTCAAATTTACCATTAATGAATAATTATTTTTATAAATATTCTAAATTTATAATAAATAATATTAAATTAAATTTTTAAATATTTATAGGATATTCATAAATCTAACCTCAATCCGTTAATACTAAACCATAAATAATAATTACCAAAAGACTTTGATATTCAAATTGAATACAATTTCACTAACCAAAGGTATTTATTCATGTTTTCAAGACGTTTTCTAAACAAGTGAACGTAGTCGTCCTCGAGCCTTTATTTGCCATATATATATACGTATATACTAGGTGTTTTGCCCGCACTTACGGGCCTAAACATTTTATAATTATTTTACTAATATACTTTTACTAATCGAAAGATTTCAATGATAAATTATTATTTATGTTTTTTTAAACCAATAAACCAATAATATTTATATTTTCATTTAAACATTCTTACATATATTTCTTTGTACATTATGTTCACAATTAAAAATAAATCTTAAAATCAAATAATATTTTCAATTATATAAAATTAAGAAGTTTACTTGATTAATATTTAGTTATCTATTTTCTATTTTTTATTAAAATATATTTTTTAGATAACAACACAATATATATAGGAATTATCTTATTTAAATATATATTATTTAGATTTTGGATAATTCTTATGATTATTATTAGTTTTAGTTACTTATCTAATTAAAATAATTAAATTCGCTTTTATTTTGTATGTAATTTTTATATTTTATTCATTAAGGGTATAAACGATATTAACCGGTCTAACTTTTAACGTGGGAGTTCCCTTGCGAAAAATCACTTCGCAAATAATAATATAGATTACGTTACATTATTATTTATTCATTATTATTTGCCAATCTATACATATATCTGTCTTAGTGATTAATATGTATGGGGCATGATTGATGTTAGGCCAACTACCCGAATGAATAACGTGGTCGAATATTACTCACCAATTAAAAAACACACACATTTTTATTACCCAGGAAGAAGAAGAGAAGATTCTAGCAGGCACGATCAATGATTCAAATAAAACGGTAAAACCCGTTTTTCACCCTTCACGTTCACTATATAAACAGCGGCGAGGACGTGTGTTATTTCATCAACCATCCCAACGCAAAATAAACAAGTAGAAGCTTTAAAAAGAGAGAGAGGGAGAGAGAGAGAAATGGCGACGTCAGGAACATACGTGACGGAGGTACCGTTGAAAGGAACGGCCGAGAAACACTACAAGAGGTGGAAAAGCGAGAACCATGTCTTCCCTGACGCCATCGGCCACCACATCCAAAACGTCACCGTTCATGAGGGCGAATCTGACTCCCACGGTTCGATCAGGAGCTGGAACTACACATGGGGTATACAATTACTGTACTTTTTCTCTCTTTTTTTTGGTCAAAATATATCATTCACTACGAGAAGCATTAGTAACAGTTTGCTACAATATTCAAGTCTTTAATAGTACGTATCTGATTTTGCTAGAGACAAATCAGCATGACAATTATCGAGTTGACTTCTTCTCTATATATATTTAACACTTTTTGGCCATATACACAGAGTCACAGACTGACCCCAGACTGATGAGTTTGGATATAATACATGCATAAATGAACTAGAGTTTCATGCAGTAATCTATTTTGCTGAAAAAGCAAGAAAACTTATATGCATGTAGCTCGTAATACATCTGAAATATATGTATATACTGACATCTCTATGTTCCTATCTCGATTTAATTAAATCGAAGACATAACTGCTAATTAATGTTTGAGTTTATAATTAGCTAAGAAATTTGCTTGAAATTCTAACATTATGGATTCATACACATTAAACATGATAACAAAGGCAAAAAATAGGCAATCGAGGTCATAGCTAGTTAACATATGTCGAAACCCATCTAGATTGGTTGGTCTGTTATAAAACATATTAATACGAGTTCAGCTCTCTCTAGCTAGGGTTTTGATTCACCATGCGTGGTGTCATGACTTCAAACAACCTACGCAGACTGTTTAAATGAAACACTAATCCGCTGAAATTTGATTGTAAACATATGATAACACATACATATTCTTATAATTAGGTAGTATGATTAGTCAGATGTTGGAAATTTAACTAATGAACATATATATATGTGTGTGTAAAGATGGAAAGGAGGAGATATTCAAGGAGAAGAGAGAGGTAGACGATGAGAACTTAACGTTGACGTTAAGAGGACTTGAGGGTCACGTGATGGAGCAGCTCAAGGTATATGATGTCATCTACCAATTTATCCCCAAAACTGAGGATACCTGCTCCTGCAAAATCACTATTGTGTGGGAGAAGCGCAACGATGATTCTCCTGAACCAAGCACCTACATGAAATTCGTCAAGAGCTTGGTCACCGACATGGACCACCACGTCAACAAAGCCTAAATATTATCATCATCATTATCACAATGATCATCCTTATCTTCATCAACATCACCATCATCACTGTCTCGATTTACTTATTAAGGTGTTTTCAATATAATAAAGGCGTCTTGTACGTGAGTCTCATTTCTATGTAATTGTTTGGTTCTGTAAGATGGTTTGATATTATGGTTATCATCGAGATTGATGTAATGATTGTTAAGAATAATGTACGTTCTTCACTTATCAACATTTTTCAGTTTTCAATTAATTGCAGTTTTCATATATTTACATCTAGTGCCATTGGTTAATTTGGTTGAGCGTGCTTTATTTTTCTTTTGTTAAATTAAATATAAATCGCTCCGTTTCGATGATATGCGGAGAAAGAAAACCACACTAGTTTATATCTCTATGGGTTTATATTAACCAATATTGAACATAAAAGTGATACATAATCACAATCACGTGTCCAGATATATATATTAAAACTGCATGACTGTAAAATTTATGCGACCATAAAGTGGCAGCGGTACCACCTCCAAATATATCATGAATCATTCAACATCAAAGTTTCAAGGCACATCAATTTTGAACTGTTATTTATCTTAGATAAGCCGTTAAGTTATAAATGGTATGTGTCCATGGCTACCCATCATTCAAGAGGATGATACGAACCAACAAAGTACAATAGAGAGTAGGGACCATGTAGTTGATTCTATTTATTGATGAGAAACAAATTTGACTATTTTTTAGTAAAAATAAAAATACAAACTTGACAATATTTTAATCTAAAATAAAAAAAAGAATGAATGCCCTTTTTTCTTCTTCTAAAACATACAATGGATTTTAAAAAAAGAAATACAATGGATCCATAGACAGAAACCAAAAGAGCATGAATAATTTAGTTTTTTTTTTCTTCAACAATTTTAATAGAATTAATACAAACTAGATTTCAACCCACGCAACCGCGCGGGTATTTATTTTTATTTATTTTTATATAAATATTTTGTTTTTACTTTAAATTTGTATATATTTTTTAAGGTGTGTATATCGAAAATGATATTATATAAGATGTGTATATCAAAAATAGTGATTAATTATTATATAGTATAGACTAATTATTGTTAAAAATGATATTTTGTCATTTTTAAAAATAAACTATATAATTGTTAAAGTTAACATCGAAAATATATAAATAATTAACTTATACTATTAGAATATTAAATTATATAAGTTTAATTTAAACATGTATTTTATTATACTACCTATAAATTCAATGGATCATCTAATTTTATTAGCCCAATAAAAATTTCTAGTAAGCCCAATAAATGTTATTAATGAATCTAACGAATGTTATTAATGATTAAATATATAATGTGACCAACTCTAGTAGATAGTCCATTTTATAAAAAATCACACATGAATGAGAAGTTATGACTTCTCTTTTAATATAATAGATTTGGACAAAAGATTAAACATAATAATATGTTTCTTCAATAGCCCCCAAGCTTTTTCTGGCCCATTAATATACTATCAACTCATTGTGGGCCTAGCCGAATAAAATAGTGCAAAGGCCCATTACTGGTCCATCCGAGTTACTGGACAAGACTTAGCTTCCGAGAGGTGCTCTGCTCCTCCTCGCCGGCGTTGTTGTTAAACCGGTAAAGCTCTCCGCTCCCCCCATTCTTCTTCATTAGTCTGTTGAATTCGATCTTAGCTTATCTATTCTCGTCATGCTTGTGATTGTTGAATTATCTTAGAAGAACCAATCAAAAACTCAGCCTCTGAGATTCCTCGCTTGACTTTCTACTTGGCGTTTCGAAACCCTCTCAAAGTCCTTTTTCTTTTTCTTGCAGGCAAACACTATCTCTCTCTCTCTCTCTCAAAGATGGCGTTTTTTCGTCTGACCCGTGTTTCACGGAGGTTGTTGAAGTCATCCGTGTCGGGAACTCCATCTTCGAGTTCTGTTTTCCTGTCTGAACAACAACATATAAACTTGTCAAAACATGTTGCTACTACACGACATTACATCAACCCTTTGCTTAATTATCCTCTATGGAGCAATAAAGGAACGGACTTTCATCATGAGAAGGTTGTTGGTGTTGGTTGGAATTATAGATTAGTATCTGGAATGTCTTCGGTTGTGGAGGGGAGTCCTAAGAAAGATGAAAAGGAGAAGAGTAGTGGTGGTGTTAAGGAAGCTTCTTGGGTTGATTTGTATTTGCCTGAGGGAGCTAGAGGTTATGCTAAGCTGGCTAGATTGGATAAACCTATTGGGACTTGGTTGCTTGCTTGGCCTTGTATGTGGTGAGTTCAGTGTATCTTCTCCTTTGAATACACTTTAGAGATTAGTGAGCTGTGAAGAGATTCTGAGTTTCAACCATTCTTGTATAGGTCAATTGCGTTGGCTGCTGATCCTGGAAGCCTTCCAAGTTTCAAAATGATGGGTTTATTCGGTTGTGGAGCTTTACTTCTTAGAGGTGCTGGCTGTACTATAAATGATCTGCTTGATCGGGACATTGATACAAAGGTCAGTTTATTTTGCGGTATCTGAATGAGATAATATGTTAGCAAAGATAAGTGATGTCAATTATATAGATGATAGATCCCTGTAGTATGTCATTTAAGCAATATGTGGTTAAACTGTGGTTTCTGTTTTGACATGTTGAAGGGCTCTTGATACTCGTATGTCGGATTAGTTTATGCCAACATTCGATCGAGCAATTTCTAGTCACCTGTCTCCTTCGGGTTATAGTTTATCTGCATGTACTGATTACTTTGTCATAAGAAGACAAAAGACTATAAGATGCAGTGAAGGTGGAATATGTTTTTTGGTCGAAATGTGTGTAGTAGCTACTGTAGCTACAGTACTGCACAGTTACATAATCTTTGATGCTCAAGGTTTTATATGACTGTTTCGTTTCGTTTCGTTTTGAATTATGTTGTCTGAGAAATTGTCTTTTTAAAAAAAAATTCAGGTTGATCGTACAAGATTAAGACCTATTGCCAGTGGTCTTTTGACACCATTTCAAGGGCTTCAGTTTCTTGGGCTACAGTTGCTTTTAGGTTTAGGGATTCTTCTCCAACTTAACAATTACAGGTTTGTGCCTTAAAAGTTGCGTATATGCAAGTGTTTGTTTCGATTCACCAGATGTATTAAAATACGTAATATCACAGGTTCCCTTTAGTTCAGGTAGCTCATTTTTTTCTTTTCTTTCTGCAGCCGTGTTTTAGGGGCTTCATCTTTGTTACTTGTCTTCTCCTATCCACTTATGAAGAGGTTTACATTTTGGGTAATTTAAATCCATTCTCAAATTTAGTCTATATATTTTTCTTCTTCTCGTTTTTTTGATCGATTCTTGGATTCATATTGCAGCCTCAAGCATTTTTAGGTTTGACCATAAACTGGGGAGCATTGTTAGGATGGACTGCAGTTAAAGGAAGCTTAGAACCAACTGTTGTACTCCCTCTTTACCTCTCAGGAGTGTGCTGGACCCTTGTGTATGATACTATCTATGCACATCAGGTACAATTCACTTTGTTTCTTTAAAGTAATTTTCAAGTTAGTATGGAGGTTTTGCTTGGAACTATTTTGTTTGTTCTTGAGCTAGTATGAAAGAATAGGGTTATTGTATGTTTACAGGACAAAGAAGATGATGTGAAGGTTGGTGTTAAGTCAACAGCTCTTAGATTCGGTGATAATACAAAGCTTTGGCTAACTGGATTTGGCACAGCATCCATGGGTTTGCTTGCACTTTCTGGACTCAGTGCAGATCTCGGTACTCAATATCTGTTACAATTTTGTTCCCAATTCTGTCTACAGTCTTTTAATTTTTGTTTCTCTCTCTCTCTGTAATGATTAAGGTTGGCAATACTACGCATCACTGGTAGCTGCATCAGGACAATTAGGATGGCAAATAGGGACAGCTGACCTGTCATCTCGCGCTGACTGCAGTAACAAGTATGGTTTCTTTCTTCTCTCTGAATCCAATACGTGGTTTGGCTTGGAAAGCTAACAACACCTTAATGGTTTTTGATGTTTCCACAGATTTGTGTCAAACAAGTGGTTTGGTGCTATTATATTCAGTGGAGTTGTACTCGGAAGAACTTTTCAGTAGAGTTGTCTTTATTAATGAATACTCATAAAGCTGTTCCTTGGATTCACCTATTCCTATATATGAAAATGGAAGTTGACTTTTGAGACTTTTGCGAGTGAAACAGAGGACCTGGTTTTGCTACCCGAGTACAATGTGGCCTCCTTCAGGCTGGAAAAGGTCAAGGTGTGTTTTCCAAAACCTTGGAAGAAGCCATTGTCAGATAAGGTGAAACTTGACTCTTCTCATTAGTTTTTGGTTATGTTAATAGAAATTGGGATTCATGTCTTTTGTTTACAAGGAGGTTTGTTTATCCATTACTCATTCAAAGCGTTGACAGAGTAACCCTCTGGACATATGCTTTTAAAAAGTTGCAGTATCAATTATTTGTAAGTTACAGAATTATTTTCCCCAAATTGTTAATTGCTTGTAAGTTGTACTAATAAATTTATTTTCAATTTCAAATTGCGAAAAAGTGATTTTTTTATTTTTTTCATTAGCTAATGTTAATAAATGATACTTCAACTGATACTAACTGAATTAATATAAATTAGCTGAAGATTACTTTTTGTTTCATTGATTAATTTTCTTCAAAATGGGGAAATACTCAACAAATACGCGTTTTAATTGGTTCAGATATTGACCAATGAAAACTAGCCACGTATCCTCCACTTTCTCTTGGTCGATCTTCAGACATAGAAAAGCTCTTTCCATTGACTTTTTGACTTAGAGAGAAAGAAAGTTCGCTCGACAATGGGACACAGACACAGCAAGTCCAAGACCTCCTCCTCTCCCTCCGGCAACGTCGTCCACCATGTCCAACCTTCCGGTGAACGCCGCGGATCCTCCGGCTCCGGTTCAGGACCCGTCAAATCCTCCTCAGGCTCCGGAACCGGCGGATCCCGTTCCAACGCATCTCATCACCAGAACGGTCGGATCCTAGGAAGGCCGATGGAGGATGTCAAGGCAACCTACGAGTTTGGTCGCGAGCTTGGTCGTGGCCAGTTCGGTGTCACGTACTTGGTCACTCACAAAGAGACAAAGAAAGTCTTTGCTTGCAAGTCAATCCCCACGCGCCGACTCGTCCAAAGTGACGACATTGAAGATGTTCGTCGTGAAGTCCAGATTATGCACCATCTCAGTGGTCACCGGTAATTTCTTATTTCAAATATATCTGAAAAAATGATTCTTTTGAGATGGCCCAATAGTAATGACTAATGAGAATAACCAATGTTGTTATTTATCTACCGATGCTCAAGTGTCTTATGATATAACCATTTAATGTGTATTTTTTTTCCATATTAATGATAGTTTACATCATATATGTGAGATGAAATGAAATAATGATCTTTTCAAGTATGCATTGATTTGTGAATTTTTGTAGGAATATTGTGGACTTGAAGGGAGCTTACGAGGACAGACACTCGGTGAATCTGATAATGGAGCTGTGTGAAGGAGGGGAGCTTTTCGACAGGATCATAGCTAAAGGTCATTACTCTGAGAGAGCTGCTGCGGATCTGTGCAGGCAGATGGTGATGGTTGTGCATAGTTGTCACTCTATGGGTGTGATGCACCGTGACTTGAAGCCTGAGAACTTTCTCTTTTTGAGCAAAGATGAGAGCTCCCCGTTGAAAGCTACTGACTTTGGTCTCTCCGTCTTCTTCAAACCAGGTTAAAAAACAGGCTTAGATGTACTTTAGTTACTTCTAGTTTCTGCATCCATAACTTTGGTCTGTTGATGCAGGAGATAAGTTTAAGGATCTTGTTGGAAGTGCATACTATGTTGCTCCAGAAGTTCTACGCCGGCACTATGGACCAGAGGCTGATATCTGGAGTGCCGGTGTGATTCTGTTCATCCTTCTCAGTGGTGTCCCACCTTTTTGGGGAGGTATAGCCTTTATCTTATCTGAGAAGAGAGTTTGGTTTGAACAATGTATAGTTAACCTTCTTTTGTTCAAATGTGCAGAAAATGAAACAGGGATCTTTGACGCCATTCTAGAAGGAAAGCTTGATTTTTCAGCTGATCCGTGGCCTGCTGTATCTAACGGTGCCAAAGATCTTGTTAAGAAGATGTTGACATATGACCCTAAAGATCGGCTTTCAGCTTCTGAAGTGCTAAGTAAGACCACTTTATAACATGTTTTGATGAATACATTTTATCCAATGAATGTTTATAACGTTTTAATACGCTTTTTGCAGATCATCCTTGGATTAAAGAAGACGGGGAAGCTTCAGACAAACCGCTTGACAATGCTGTGTTATCTAGGATGAAACAGTTCCGAGCGATGAACAAACTAAAGAAAATGGCACTCAAGGTAAACAAGAACACTAATCCAAACCCATCTTTGTAGTCTTCTTGTTCTAAAGACAATCTTTGTTTTGTGTTTCAGGTCATTGCAGAGAACCTATCTGAAGAAGAAATCATTGGTCTAAAAGAGATGTTCAAAGCTCTAGACACTGATAAAAACGGAATAGTCACCTTGGAGGAGTTGAGAACTGGTCTCCCAAAACTTGGCAATAAGATCTCTGAGGCTGAGATAAAACAGTTAATGGAAGCTGTAAGTCTCTACTTCCATCTGTGTGTCTTCTCGTTGCAAAACTCAAAAAACTGATAAAATATGTGTTTTGGGTATAGGCTGATATGGATGGAGATGGATCAATAGATTACTTGGAGTTTATATCAGCAACAATGCATATGAACAGAATCGAACGTGAGGATCACTTGTACACTGCTTTTCAATACTTCGACAACGACAACAGCGGGTAATAAAAAACATTAGTAAGCTACCTCTTTTAGTAACAAAGCTACAAATTCTCATACTTTTGGGATCTTGATTTGTGTTATTCTTTAAGGTACATAACAATGGACGAACTAGAGCAAGCCATGAAGAAATACAACATGGGTGATGACAAATCCATCAAAGAGATCATTGCTGAAGTAGACACTGATCGTGTATGTTATTATGATTTGGTCCATTTCGTATATTATATGCATTATCATTTTCTTGTTTTCCTTAACACCAGTCTCTTATGTAAATTCAAATCTTTGGTAGGATGGAAAAATCAACTACGAAGAATTCGTGGCGATGATGAAGAAGGGACATCCAGAATTGGTGACAAACCGACGCAGAGTTAATATGTAAGACAACTTTGGAGGGGTAATAATAAACCACAACAAATCTCTTCCTCTATGGCTCTTATGTTTTCTGACGAGAGATCTTTTTTATGTTTGGTTTGTTTGCTTTGCTTCTCTTATTTTTAACTTAGATTTGTTGGTTTTGTTACAATAAATATTGTTTTGTTTCCTGCAACAATCTCTCTTTATCAACACAACAAATCTACGGTTGGATTAGAAAAGCAATTTGCTGGTTCGCATCATGATTCATGAGAGATTTCTAGTTGCAGGTCCTCCATCACTTGATAAGTGTATGATTGAAAAAGTTCCCTAGAATTATAATCTTCATCATGAACCATGTCATTATTCTAAAGGAAATGTTAAGCAAAGTACATTTTTGGCGCCGTATTTTTAAATGGATGATCCAGATCCGATCGTATATAGTCCTTCCCTTTTTGTATTACTTGGCATTTTAGAGTTACACAAATTCAAAATTATTTATATATTTACTTTTGTAACCAAAAATATTTTTGACAATATTTTCAATAATAATATAAAAAGTATCATAAAATATTGACGATATCACAGCTGACGATTTGATATGAAAATTCACATCTTACTACACATTGAACCGTTTTATAAAATTTATTTTTAACGGTACTCTTTAAATCATAATGAAGATCTCTTCTAAAAATAATATTCTATATAATTTATTTCCTCCGAAAATTAAAACTTACATCTCTTTTTGTAGAAACATTAATAAACTAAATCATTGGTTAAATCAATGGACCATAATGTGCTTCCACAAATATCATAAAACATTTGAAAATTTTCTTTATTAAAAACTGAAAATATCGTCTAATAGACTAATCTAATACCAATACAAATATTTTAATCTATTGATGACATTTTCTCATGAAAAATCGGAAAACTAAAAGAAGAAAGAAACAAAAAAATGAATACAAACAACTGGATAAAAAAAACATTTTAATCCCTCTCGAGAGATAATGAACAGTAAACGATGATCGATAGCTTCCCTTTAGATTCGATTCCGATTCCGATTCATAATCTCCTCATAAATCAGTCTCCTCCGGTGTGCTCTCTCTGATCGTCAAACGATCCTCCTTAAAACGACGCCGCATCGTACTCTCCCGGCGGCTCGAAAACCATGGTACGTTTGTCCCTTCCATTTGAATCGTCTGCACTCTTAGATTCTAACCTTTTTTCTCCAATCTGGATAACGAAATCGAGACTTAGTGTCTTTCCTGAAAGTATATTTGCTGTAATCGATTTCATTCAAGTGAATCTGTGTGTTGTAATTGAATCAGGCTGATAGGAGAAACAGGTTTAACCAAGTCCTGCTTCTAGCGTATCAGAGTTTCGGCTTAGTCTTTGGAGATTTGAGTATCTCTCCTCTCTACGTTTATAAATGCACTTTCTACGGAGGATTGAAAAATCACCAGACTGAAGATACGATCTTCGGCGCGTTTTCTTTGATATTTTGGACAATCACTCTTCTTTCACTCGTCAAGTACATGGTCTTTGTGTTAAGTGCTGATGATAATGGTGAAGGTAATGAGCTCAGCTCACTGGCTTTTTGCTTATTGATACTCCCTCTATTTCAAATTAGTTGTCGTTTTGGGTCTACGCACATACTGATTAAGAAAACATTTAATTTTGCATATTTTCTAGATTACCTAACCAATAAAAAATAGAATAACATATAAAGTTAGTGAAATTATAAAACACTTATTTTGAAGGGGAAACTTTATTCTACAACGAAAACAATTGAAATGGATGGAGTATTTCGTTTGTTTGATGTAAATTGATGAGTTTCTTTTGTGTGCAGGAGGGATCTTTGCTTTGTATGCTTTGCTCTGTAGACACGCGAGATTTTCTTTGCTTCCGAATCAGCAAGCGGCTGATGAGGAGATCTCTACGTACTATGGCTCTGGGGATGCTACTAGAAATTTGCCTAGCTCTGCTTTCAAAAGCCTTATTGAGCGGAATAAGAGATCCAAAACTGCTTTGCTTATCTTAGTCTTGGTGGGTACTTCCATGGTGATTACCATTGGTGTCCTTACACCTGCGATTTCAGGTGATTAAGCAGACCTTTACACCATGTTTTATCTTTTTCCATGGTTTAGCAGTCTAACACTATATCCCTCTTGTAGTCTCTTCGTCTATTGATGGACTTGTGGCGAAAACAAGTTTAAAGCATAGTAAGTAATATCTTTCACAGTTGTGTATATGCATTCGGTCATTGTTATTTATATATTTATTTACCGATTTGTTGCT